TGTGGATGGTTATTTTCGATATTTTGGGTTGCCTCGACGTGAATGAGATCCTGCTCTTGATCAATTTGGTGATCTGGATCTTCGCGTGAGGTCTCTTGCAGTATTAGGGATCTTTGAGAAACGTAGCCGAGTTTTACACTCATTCGATCCCTTACGCACTTACACTCAACATAGCGTGCGCTTAAAACAAAAATGAGTTCATCTGCAGCAGCCAGTTCTTTATGTAGCTGCGAGTCACTCTCGATTTGTTCGATTTCCAACATTATTTCCTTTTTGTCGGACTTACTTTTGCAGTTGCTATATTCTTCTCTTATCTCTTTGTATAGTTTTGTGAGATTTTCTTTCCCTTCTTTGATTTGATTTATACCGCTTTCTAGCAGCGTGGTTGTTTCTTTACACATTTCGTAGCTATCCTCATCTATTGTGGGATAATCTACCTTTTTTGTGTACTCCGTATATGCGGAGACCAAACCTCGTAGCGTTTTTGTGCTATTTATGATTGGTGTTTTGTGGAAGTGCAACGCCATTTTTCTGCGCGATTTCCGAAGTGAGAGTTGTTTCTGAGTTAAAATAACTACAGAAGATGTCTCCAGGTACGTAGTACGGGAGTTTCCCTTATGAAGGGCGAATCAATCAAGATTCTGGGTCTTAGGAAAGACCGTAAAAGTTTGCTCGTGAGAGAGCTGTCTTCGTTCCAGGCCCCAAAGATGTTACTCTTTGACGCGGGAAATTTGGCTGTTAGGCCGATGCACCAGATGACCAGGATGGGTGCGTGAAGACTGGGTGATTTACCCTTTTAAAAGCAATAAGACAAAGGTGGTTCAGAACGTTTATTGTGAGATAGGGATAGGAGCGTGGGCGGGTTGACCGTTCCCAACGCTTAGCAAAAGCAAGTATACAAGTGCATGAGCGAAGTCTGTATGCTACACGTAACAGTCGACCCAGCACAAGCCTAATTTCACCGCGCCCCGCCCCACTTGATAGCGGGGGGCAAGGCGCTTACGTACATAATAGTACGGGGTCGTCGACGACGACATATGCTATGGGCAGGGCAGCATTGATGCTGACAGGAAACTCGACTATGTCCTCTGCTTCAGGTGTGTCATCCTGGAACTTGACACGTCAATCAACAGCTCGGGACAGGGCGTCGGCTACGACGTTAGACGGCCCTTTCAGACATTCTATAGACAGATCGTAACTCTGCAGCTCAACGACCCACCGTGTTAAGTTTTCATGAGCCTTATTGTGTTTTAACAGGAACGTGAGCGGACGATGGTCGGAGTAGATGGTAGTGTATGGTAGTTGTTACCGTATATGGTGGGACGAAAAAAGCGTAGTGCACTCACAATTGCGAATAACTCTATGTGGGTGGAACTCCACTTTTGCTGAGATTCCGACAGCGTTTTACTAAAGTAACCGATGGCAACGAATTGTGGGTCCGTATCCGAATGACGTTGGAACAAGGCCGCTCCTACCGCATATTGGCTGTCATCAGTATGAAGGAAAAATTTCTTATCCTGTGGGAATCCCAAGCATGGCTTCGACGTCAGCTGAAGCTTAAGCCGTTCAAAGGCTTCTTGCTGCTCCGGTTCCCATACAAACTTCGCCTTATCCTTCAAGAGAGCATACAAGAGGGCCGCTACCAACCAAAATTTGGAATGAACTTCCGAAGGAGTTGGCCATGCCTACAAAACCTTTTACGGCTTTTGTTGTAGTAGGAGTGGGGAACTCTTCGATGGCCTGAACGTTCCTGGCCTTTCTATCAATTTTTTACCAGACGCTTTAATGTTTAAAAGGCGGAACCGGTAAAAGACTTTGCGCAAAGAGTGCGAGTGATTGGGAAAATCTTTGTCAAATATGACGTCCAGATAAGCGAGGCAGTTATTCTCTAAGCCTGCTAGGATGCGTGCCATAGCCCGTGAAAAATACGCACCTGCGTTTTTGAGACCAAAAGGGAGGTACACAAACTGCTAAACACCCCTATGTGTTCCCCAACCGCATTTCTGTTGACTTTCCGGAGAGTGAAGGAGTTGCATATATCCTGATGCCAAGTCCGGAGTGGTATAAAATTTGTGACGGGCTATCTTAGCTAGGATATCCTCAATGCAGGGTAGAGGGTAGTGATCGGGTACGGTAACGCTGTTTAAAGGGCGAAAGCCTAGACAGACTCTCAAAGAACCGTCCTTTTTCTTGGCGAGAACTGTGTTGTGAACCCAAGGTGTGTCACTCTCAGCAATACGCCCAGCACGGAGTAGTTTGTTGATATGATCATCTAATTCTTTTTGGAACCTAACGGGAATGCGCGGAGGGCGGAATCGGGTTTGTGGAGTGTCGGTCGTCGTCTTGATAACGATTTCAGACACTTCATAGGAACCCAAATCATAAGAGCCAGTGGAAATACGATCACGAAACTCATAGAACAACTGGGCCAATTGGCTTCGTCCTTCGTCAGAGATCTCTGCGAAAGACGGATCGACCTTGCAGGAGTCGATGATATTTGTTGTTTCAGGGCGGTCGGCCCTTACCGTAGCATCACCTACGAAGGGGGTAAACTAGACTGAGAGTGAGAAAGAGGTGAAACGTCATTGCTGTCAAGGGGAACAGCTAATGATATCTGTTGTCCCTTATAGAGCGTTTTTGGTCGAGATGACGGATTAGATACCAACAGAAGGGGGTCAGCAGCATTGACTACTGCTGGAGAGCCCATTAATGATTTGCTTGACAGCTTGTCATCTTGAGAAATTAACACGAGCGAAGTCTGAGAGGTCTGCTCCGTTACGCAATGGGCAAGAGTCTGGGATGACGGTGGGAGTACGGTAGTCTCAGCAACGCGAACAGACATTGTCTGGTCGGCAAGTGGCGAAGGGTCTGCGGGGATGCGCCCAATATTTTCAAGTGGTGATCTGCAAAGCGTAGAGTAGAGTTATCATGATCGATAGTGCAAGGGGATAACTTACGAAGGAGGTCATTGCCTAGAATAATATTATAGGCATCCGCTACGTCGGGAATGCAGACTGCTTTGTAAAGTGGAGAGGATGCACGAACGATAACGACCCGATTTCAGACGAGAGTTGCGAAACCCTGAAATTGGACAGGGACTCCTGCCATACCTATTGCGCTATTAACGTCGCCTTGAAGCAGCTGGAATGCTCCGAATAGAGGACTAGTATCTACTGAGGTAAGAGTTATGGGTGCACCGGTGTCAACAAG